ATATCTATATCTATATCTATATCTATATCTATATATATATATATATAGGGTTAAAATCATACGGGAGAAATTATATATGGGGTTAAAATCATACAGGAGAAATTATATATATACCGTACATATATACATACATATATGGGGTTAAAATCATACAGGAGAAATGCTAGCTAGCTAGATAGATAGATAGATAGATAGATAGATAGATAGATAGATAATGTTAGTCATTGCCCTGCATTTGGTCAAGATGTTCTGGTAGTTGCCCTATGTTCAGATGGTATGGAGGGATATTCATGCAAGTGGGCCCTTCCTCTTTCTGGCCATGTGGATACTGGGACATGCAGTCCAGGAAATAAAGTTTAAATTCCATTTGCAAGCCAAAAAGCTACTGCCTTTGAGATCCTGGCTACAAGCCCCTTTGCCTGATGGAAGCCAGTAGAGCTTTAAAAGCTTGCAATATATATAATGTGTATTTTGGTTGGCCCCATAAAGGCACGGCCTCTTTGTGGATTTTGGATCATATAGTTGTGTAACTGTAATTAACTTTATACTTGTGGGCACGTGACCTCATTACATGGGGAAGACATCATTTCAGAAGTTCAAAGTTTTGTGGTCAATGAAGCAGTGACAGGAGGAGAATGGGCTTCATAAAAGGCCAGGTTTATAGTATTCAGGAAGATGTGATTGTGTTTTAAAGCTAATGATGTTACTTACTTAGAATTATAATGGTAACTACTTAGGGGCTGGAATTATAATGATAACTAATTACTTTTCAGAAGTAGCTTTCCAAGCTCTGCATATCACAGTAAACATTCACAGAAGGAGAGAGTTAGCAGTAAAAGCATATGACATTCTTTCTAAATAAGGTAAATACCCTCAAGGCACCAGATCCTGTCTGATTTTGGAAGAACTGGTTAGTACTTGGATGGGAGATCTCCAATGAATATCAGGTGCTATAGGATATATTCCAGAGGAAACAATTGGCAAAACCACCTTTGGATATACCCTGCCTAAGAAAAACCTGTGAAATTCATGAGGTTGCCATAAGTCAACAGACAAATTGAAGAGGCAGTGTAATGTAGTGGTTTGAGTGTTGGACTATGACTCGGAAGACCCGGATTTGGTTCCTGCTCGGCCATTAAAGCCACTTGGTGACCTTGTGCAAGTCACATGCTCTCAGCCTCAGGGGAAGGCAATGGGTTTGATTCTTAAC